TTTTTGATGTTACGGATAAAAGCGCTGTATGTGCCTCCATAGAAATCTAAATCTATATGTAGCGAGTTTACAAGGTTGACTATCCTATTTCGTGGGCAATGGATCATATAGTTATTGTTAAACATAGTTGTTTTCAGTAATCGACTTCGTCTAAGGGTTAATCCAGATGGTGCTAATTCGAAGCAGCTGTGTATGTCATGAGCATCGATGATACCATTTACCACCTTGTAGAAGAAGGTCAAATCCGCAATCTTTCGTCTATCTGACAGGCTTTTGATTCGGTAAAGTTTGTATATATCTTCTGTGGTGCGTGCGTAACTTAGTGAGGTATTGCGGAAAGCCAGGGTTTTGCACAACTTACGTCGTACTTTTTCGACACGAGTGATTGAGCTATCAGTGTGCGGCGACCAGATCACACTGCCATATTCTACGATAGACAGTACCAGGGATGAGAATAGTTTGATCAATGAGTAAGGGTTGGCAAAATCCTTGCTGCTTCTAGAGATAAAGCCAAATACTTTGAGAGCCTGACATGTGATCTTTTCGATGTGTTTGGAAAAGCTTAGTTTATTATCCAGGATGACGCCTAGATCCTTGATGTCATCGACCACCCTTATTTTTGCCCCGTGTAGATTGTAGTCTGCATGTAATGGGGTATGCGAGCGTGAGAAGGAGATAACTGCACATTTACTGAGATTGAGATCGAGCTTATTTTTGGAGCACCAGTCAGAGAGCTTGTCGATGTCATGCTGTAAAAGATGAGAGTCCAACGTACTTTTTATGGATCTGAATATTTTCAGATCATCCGCATACAACAGGTATTCTGATTTGAAACCACAACCGATATCATTGACGAAAATGTTGAACAAGATAGGGCCGAGGTGAGAGCCCTGAGGAACACCAGACCTAACCTCATAATTACAAGATAGATGTCCATCAACTCTGACTTGCAAGTGTCTGCCTATAAGGTACGAGCTTAGCCAGTTAAGAGCATTTCCGCTGACTCCATAGTTTCTCAATTTATTCAGTAAAATGTTATGGTCGACGCAATCAAAGGCCTTACTGAAATCAGTATAGACACCATAGACACAGGCACCAGAATTCATGGCATTGAATATATAGTTAGTATATGTGCAAAGGTTGGTTGTAGTGGATCTACCGCGCATGAATCCATGCTGTTTACTGGTTATAATATTTGTAAATGAAGTTGAGAGTTGCGGTAGTACTAACTTCTCAAAAAGTTTTGCCAATGCGGACTGGATACAAATCGGTCGATAGTTCGAGACTGATGATCTTGGTCCATCCTTATGGATGGGGCTAATATATGACAGTTTTCAGTACAAAGGGAAAACACCATGTCGAAGAGATTCGCTAAAGATGTGCGTCAAAGGCTCGCAAAGTCCCACAGCGCAGTTTTTCAGGAAAATGTTGGGCAGTCCATCAGGTCCAGCGCCTTTATTGGGGTCTAATGTGCTCAGCTGTTCAAATACATCATCGTAAGTCACCTCAAAGTCACTTATGCAAGCACTCTGTTCGGTAAGATGCAGATAAGGAGTGGTGTTTTGGGCGATTGGTGCGTATGTGCTTTGAAAGTATGTCGCGAAAAGATCACTAATTTCGGTTCCAGTATTAGCTGCTTGATCGCCCCACACCATGGTCGATGGTATCTCGCTATTGTGATAAAATTCCAGAACGCCTTGGTGTTGGACTGCAGTGAGTTTTCTACTCTATCGATATAACTTCTATAGCACTCGGTACTTAGCTTCTTGCATTCCAGCCTAAGGTTACTAAAACGTGTATAATTTAGCATTGTTTTTCGCTTCTTATAGAGTGTGTGTGCCGCCTTTTTGAGTTTCACTTTCTCTACCAGTTCTTTAGAAAACCAGGAAGGGAAATTTCTCGACTTGTTGGAGTACACCGGAACAAACTGGGAGACACCTTCGTAGATTTTGTGATAAAGCCAGTCAAGTTTATCGTCAACTGTTTCTTGTTTGTATAGATCCACCCAGTTTGTCCTCATAAAGAATGCGTTCAAATTAATATAGTTTGCTTTTTTAAAAACATAGATCGGCGATGCATCTGGAGTTAGGCTGGGTTTGAAATCAAGCTCAACCGCCAGAGCAGGATGGTACTTATCCTCTGGAACGAGAGCAGGAGTGATATTAGGCGATATGTCGATATCACTGAAGCAGAGGTCCAGTGTATTGTTTTGTGCATTAAGAATGCAATTACACTGCTTGCAGCCAGACGAAGAATAGCAGTCATAAAGTAGATTCGTGCAGTTATTACTAGGTGAGCTACTAGGCAAGTTGAAGTCGCCCACTACCAAAAGTTTTGCATTTCGAAATTTATCAGTAATAAATGAAATGGTTGACGAATGAGTTACGTAAGTTTCATAGGTGTGCGGGGGTAAGTAAACGCAACCGATAATAGTATCCCAGTTATTACCCATAACTCTAACAAATATTTGCTCAATGCCGTCGTCAACTAATGGAATAACTTCAGCTTCAATATAACGTTTAACAGCTATGAATACACCTCCGCCACGCTCATATCCGCTTAACAAAGAATTGCGATCTTTACGATAAATAGTATAAGTAGAATCTAATATTTCACCATCATGTATAGAGGGGTGCAGCCAAGATTCTGTAATGCAAATGACATCGTGTTCGCTAATTGACGATGCGGCTAGGAAGCTACTGAGCTTAGTGCGTAGACCTCGGACGTTCTGATAATACACACTGAGATCCATTAACTTCTTTTTGCTCACTGTTCGTACGAAAATTCTTTTTACTATTTTGGGAATTCCATTAACGTATTTAATAGTTTTGCTGGTATCGCCACTTTTTTCCAGGGACTCGAGTTTAAAGCGTAAGTTTTTAAGGTGCAATTGTTGAGTTGGAGTGACATCTGGTTTGAATATAACATTGTTTCCGTCATTTGGCTTATTTCGGAGAATAGCGATTGCATCAGATGCCGAAGGTGTGACGACTAGAAGTGGTCTCGGGTGACCAGGAACAGGGCGTCCAAGTCTACGTAATTTAAGGTTAGCAACACCAACTGACAAATCAGAAGGAGGGTATATATAAACGAGGTTGTAAAAGGGGCGTGGCACATCCCGTAGGCGTGGAAATTTGAATCAGCCATAAATTTAGAACCATAAGTCACATGAACTTGAAATTTGGTATTCATACATAGGTATACATAGTTATCTAAATATGGGAGGTGTCCAGAGTAAAGTATATATAAATGAGTTTGTAAAAGGGGCATATACGTATATATATTTATCTATTAGATAACTCGGATATTTAAAACTGTGTGTTTTTTTAACCTTACCATCTTTAAATTAGTTTGAAATGGAAAGATTAAATCGTTTTTTAATCTCGCGATGCTGTTAAAAAAGGTTCGTTCATAATGAATAAAACTCCTTCCGAATTAAGCATTCTACTAGAAAAGTGCAGCTAAATAAAACAGCTAATCGAATAGGCAGCTAAACGGAATGTACCGTAGTAGAATAATTTTAATTTAGAAATTTGATCGTTACCTTAATCCATCTAATATTATTAATGGAACAAAATTTGTAGTACAAGTGATAATCAAAATATTTTAGTTATAGCACGATAAAGCCAAAAGTATGGCTCCTAAGGATGCCTTAATGTAGACAAAGAAAATGGTTTGTCTCCTTTAAATTATGCTGAACTGAATATTTGTATTACAGTTTTATATTTTGATTTGTTTACCCCGAACGACGTCGGGTACTGCTAGTAGAATATATAATGTAAAACAAAATATTTTTTAAAAACAAGCTTTTATTTAACATGTACAATCAAAGGAATAAAATAAAATAGTGCAACAAATGTTTTTTTTGTATCAAAAGATTTCTAAACTGCACTAAAATTAATAAAATAAAATAAGTTAAGCTTTCGTCAAAGTTACTAAACGTCATTATGGACACTTTACCTCCGGTTTGTGTTAACCGCTTCTGACTTTGAACATCGAATACGCAGGTTCGATCCCTGCTGAAGTCTAGTAAACAGAAGTCTGATGAGGAGATGTGGTGATCTCCGAAATAGTGCTATAACTTCTACCGCTTAGACTTTGTTGCTTTTTCATTTTTTCCTAATAAACAATCGTGGTACAAAGCTCAATAAAAATATTAAAAATAATGTGTTAACCGGATATTGAACGGCCCTTAGTCAATTGTTGTCGTTTGACAGCGTGAAACTCTCTGCAGTGCGTTTTGCGATTTAGTTTCAGCATTCTACGCAAAAATTTGTTAATCAAATAATTTGGTGTTAAAGACATAAATCTCTAGCAACGTTACAAAAATTTAAATTTCCCCTGCATTCGTTTTAAAAGCGTACATAAGTGCATATGTACGGATATACAAATCTGCGATGGTTTTGCAAAACCGCCCATCGACCAATTGCAAAACCGCCTATTTTAGGTATTCAAATTTTTTATTAGAGCGAAAAAACGGGTTTTCTTTGAAGGCATTGCCTTGATAGGCGGTATTTTCCCTAGCCATTATTTTACAAATCTATGGTTTTAGTAACGATTTTACGATTCTTATGCATAAATCTCGAAGCCTGGAGTTCAGGATTACCAAATCTCGTTTTTTTCACAATGGCTATTCAGGCGGTTTTGCAACTGGTCGATGGGCAGTTTTGCAAAATCATCGACGATATGTATGTATGCTAAGCACTTATGATAGCTTTAAACTTTAACGTTTTCACTGCTCCCTATGTTTGTCTTCATCTTAAGCAGGGATCACTCGATTTGTACATTTTGGCAGGTACAGAGTGGTGTTGTTCGGAAATTCTTTTTTGAGCTGAACTCAAATTTCCAAACAACACCACTCTTTCACTGCCAAAATGTACAAATCTGTACAAATGTACAAATCGTGTGATCTTCACTTAACAGCTTTTTACAACGCTTTTCTCAACCTGCAATGTTATATGTCCAGACTAGGGATGTTGCAAATGTGGAATTTTAGACATCCGCGGATGCGAATGCGGATGCGGATGTCTAACAGCTAACATCCGCGGGTGCGGATGCGAATGCGGATGTCAAGTATTTTCAAGAAAAAATTAAATTCAGTTATTTAGGTAAACAAAAAATGGAAAAACTAGTAATTTTTAATAATGTTTATTTTATTTAGTACTTGAACTTAAAAATTGGAACACTATATTTAATAAAAAGTAATGAGACTTGCATTGGGGCTGAAAATGTTGGATGTATCCTTTTAACTTTAATCTTCATTTGAAGAATCTAGCATAATGGCGAGATCGTTGTTCAAACACCGCTTACAAGCCGAACCAGGTTTTAAAAGGAATTCTTCATTCTCATTTCTTTGGCTGTTTCAGAATTTGGGAATCCTGTAACGTATTTAGTTTTTGTAACTCATTTTTAATGCTTTCTTCTGTGACAGGTTTGTGCTCATAGTGACCTAAATATATAGGTGGATTTGGAAAATAAATTATTATTTTCCAGTGTGAGGACCCCGGATCCTGCGGCCCTGGGCCCCACAACAATTATTTTATATACATATATAATTTGTATTAAATTGTATATTTGGAATTGTAAGAAAAACGCTTTGCATATATGTATGTACACGCACATAATGGAATTTGTTATTTGAATTATACTAGTTTTACTTACATACACATGTACATACATATATTTAATATATTACATATATTTTGAATTATTCAGCCCTATTCTGCATTTCGATTACGTTCCCGCATTCCGCTCCGCTGGAATCGAACTTAGGTATTCTGCGTTACGATCGAAACGAAAGAAGAAGAGGAAGAGAGAAAACATCTTTCGAAATCAGCTGTTTGCCTAGGAATGTGTGAAATCGAAACAAAACAAATAAATATTTGCCACCAAACTAAAGCAGCATATGAAGTTAAAGTTTGTAAATATTTTAAAATAACTAATATCACTGTAATTTAACTAGCATTACTGTAATTTAAAAATAAAATTTAAGTGGATACATAATTATGAGAATGAAATCTATAGCCGCGGATATTTAATTTAAAAATAAAATTTAAGTGGATACATAATTTAAGAATGAAATCCATAGCCGCGGCGTTATTGCTTGAAGAGAAGAACGAGTCCCAGATTGCTGATGCGGAAGTTGAAAGGCGGAGATTTAGGGACATGTTTGATCTTTTTCAGATGAGTGAAGAGTCATAAGGAATTCATCTTGAACGGTATTACTCATCGCTTAAAGTCAGTGAAATTATAAACGTTGTTTGAGCACTCCACAACATTTGCATTTACTACAGAGTGGAAGATTTGGACGCAAATGAATCCCATTTCCAAAGCCGTCAGGAGAAGGGGAAGAAAAAAGCTTATCTTTCCATAGCAAATCGAATTCCAGACAACATACGCACCTCTTTTTAAAAAGTTAGTAAAAACGAGTGCAATACTAAAAGCATCTTTTTTATGTAACTTCACATTTTATGTATGTATGTATCTATTCGCATACATCTATTAATTTTATATAAAAAAAATATATTGTATTCAGTGCATTTCACAGTCTTATTTATAGATAACGGAAATAAAAACGCCTGGACTTCCACTTTGAAAACGTGGCGCAATATCCCTTTTGGTTGCCATTATTTGAGACAATTTTTCGTATTGCCCGTATTACCGCTCGCGAAAACACAGAAATCGAGAAAATTCATTTATGATGACTTTTACAATCATGCACAGTATATTTAACTTAAATTTTTTATAAAATTTTATTATTTAAACCCACGGAAATAACAATTGAAAAGTTCTCCGTCAACAAATTTGCAACTTAGAGAAACGGAAATACGATCGAAATGTAGAATAGGTACAATCGTAAATGTTTAAGCGACTTATGCATTTCCCGCATAAACAAAGAACAGAGAACACACACACGCACTTGCATTGCACTCCCGGCCAAAACCAAGCGCAGCGAATAAACCCAGCAAGAACAGTGATAGTCATTTGATTAATCATGTGTTACTCA